TGTTGTACAATAAAGTTAATTGTACTACAATTCGGTCATCGTTAGCATTTATTTAACAATCCAGCGATACGAGCCCAGTATATTTGGGTAATCCCTCAAGGTTTCGAGGATAATCGTAACAATATTTTGGTTACAATATCTTATTTAGATGAAAGTAAAAAGAAGAAGAAGAAGAAGAAGTGTATAGTGTAAACTGAGTATAATAGCGCAAATGAAATGTGAAATAAAGTGGCAATACCAGCGATTTGAGGTTATAATAATTTTAGCAGGCGCAAAGTTTGTTTACTCTGTTTTATTAACGAAATATATAAAATAAAAGTGAATAAATGATTTGGTTTGCATAAAATAATAAGCGGAAACGTTTTAGTAGTGTTTTAAGAGTGGAAACTGGTGATTTAGTGCATTTTTGACGTGGTAATTGCTCATAGAAAACAACGAAATTTAACAAGTTTTTTGTTCATAACTTTTAAATGGTTAATAATATTATCTCCCCCCCTCCGGATTGTTATTAGGGGGGACGAAACGCGTCGTTTGGTACCCCTCCCGACTTTTCCACACCTTTTTTAGGGGTTGTTACACCACCCTAGAGAATTACCCTTTTGATATATCAGATCCGCTTTTCAGCATTAAGAAATCGATACTGTCCTCTCTCAATAAATAAATCATTAAAATAAAGTATCGGCTGATGAATTTAGTTCTGTAGCTGAACAGTTTTAGATCTCGACACTTAACAAACTCCTGCCTATCGTGACTCGGCGCAAAAATTGAAAATACTGGTTCCGTACGTCATGCGGACTGCGCCACTCGTGCGGGTGGGCGGGAATGGAGGGTAAAAACCGTTGGGATTATTATTAACTTGACTGGCCTATGGGCAAACGCCCATTCGCATTTTCGTCGAAGCAAAGAAATGTCTACAAATAATAACATAAAAACAGATTTGGTTTTTATTAGCCCGTAACTTCAATTGCATTTCTGCTTGGGTACAAAAATTCAAAACCAAAGATTTGTCTCTACGGGAAGGCATTAGTATTCTTGAGGAGATTAAAAATAATTCATCTCAAATGAGGAATAACGAATTTTTGAAAAAAAATGAAAAATGATTGTCCATTTTAATTTTTCAATCTTTGAAATAAACTGAATAAAAAATAAAACATTAAACTGCTCTTAAAATTTTTTTGTTGTGTTTTTCGAGCATACATATTTGCAAGCATATTTGCTAATGTTTTAGTGCTTATCCAAGCGCTTAAAATTGATTTTTTCTTGCCTATTTTCTTCGGCCCTGGTCATAAATCGCACAACTAGTCACTATAGAAAAAAACAAAGTTTCAGATTCGACCGGACCGACATTGCGGAAAATTCAAAAATTAATATTTAATAATTTTTAAGAAACAGCTTAACAGGGCCGAGTTTAATACTGAGATATACTACACATACATACACGGGCACGAAAAAAATTTGGTTTTACCATTGAAATTATTAAATTTTATCCATTTCATGAGACCCACCAATTCGCGGTTAATCGTGAGCTGGAACACGGTCCTAAATCTAAAATCTATCGGTATCTAAAAATCGACTTTTTTACATAAGAAAATTTAAATTGCAAAGTTTTCCGTCCAGTAAATGGCCTAGCATAATGGAAAAAGTTTAAATCTAGGAGTTCTACACAAAAACTGCAGGAATATTTAAAATAATGATATTTTTAATGTAATTTTACTAAAATTTCGCAACAGTTGTCATGAAAATTGAAATAACTCAGCTTATTCCCAACACGTATTTCTTTCCACGGATTTTTTTGGTAAACTAATCCATTCACATGCCATAAGTTTGAATTATATCAAAGCCTTAAATATGATTTTATCAAATAAGTGCATTCTAATTTAGTAGGGAAAACTTGACGAACACAATCAGGGATTTTGGAACGTTTGGATATGATGGGACACGATTGTTGACCAATAATACGGGAGACAAACCCAGCGAAATACAAAAAAACAAGGTTCGATAAACTGACAGTTGTCTCTCTCGCACCGCTTCCTTAGCAGTGGCACCGTGTTGCTTCTTTGCAAGTTTACATGGAAACAGTGTAGCTTTGGGTGAAATAAAAGTATAAGCTTTTGTGCAATATGTTTATTTGTATATGCATATGAAGCATATTTAACTGATGAAAACATAAGCATTGGACGTTTACATCAATCTCATAGTAGTCTTATTTTAATTTTGAGTCATTTTGCAGTTTTTATACAGCTAAATAGCATATAAATTACGTAATTCACGTAGATATATCAATATTACGTTCAACATTTCGTTTAAAATTCCAGATTTCCTGCAAATACATTAGAATTTACGAAAGGAATTTCACTACTAATTGCCTACTTTGCGTACTTTTCTACTACCATTTTCGAAACAAGGGATTGTATTCTTGCCCTTTCTCTGTCCTTCGTAAATGCAACCTTTTGTAAGGGAGTGTCAAACCGCAGCTGTCAATAATTATCTAACCTTGTATTATTAAATCATGGGTAGCCACATTCCTCACTTTTTGCAATCACGCTAGGGATGTCGAAAAAACATCGATGCATCGAAAATATCGATGTTTTGCTTCGATGCATCGAACATTTTCCACTCGATGTTTTCCATAAGCTGACATCTCCAGTCCATCGAACCGCCAAACATCGCTTTATCTGAAACTCAAAGAAAGCAAGATGCGGTTTTATAGCTCATAAAGTGCAAGTTTCAATTAAAAAGTTAAAAATTCGATTAAGAAGTTCAATATATCGATGAATATTTGTTGAATTTTTCAAAATTGTTTTAAAGCATGAACAATATTTTTGTAAAAAATAATAAAAAAATGTTAATTGGAAAAACGTTATGAATATTTAAATAAAAAATCAACACGTGAACACTTGTTTAAATAACAATAATATATAAATACATCAAAATTAAAGTTTGTTAAATTGTTTGAAATTGGTTCTGTTATTTTCATAGTGGAGGAAAACTCTATGCGCCTCGATGAATCGACGTACGCCCTCCGATGCATCGAAAAATATCGAGTTAGATTGGATGCATAGATGCGAGGAATACCATCGATGTATTTTTGCCACTGACATCTCTACAGGCAAAAGTTTTTCAGGCCGATTCTAAATAGAAACTCCATGGGAGTTTACTCTCTTTTCCCTTTCCTCTTATCATGAATAAAAATTCCCCGAGGATTTCTTATTTTAAAATTATTGGAAGATTTCTTTCTCAGGAGAAACAAATTCCCGGAGAACAAACTCTCCTGGAGTATTCAGAATTGGGCATGATAATGTATCAAGCAACATTTTGCAAATGGAGACCGCATTCTGCTCTTGGCAAGCAATAATTATCAGAGCTTTTATCTTGATAAATATTGTCAGTAATTTGGTACTTTGATAGCTGCCTTTTCAATTGCGCGATTACCTCGTGGAGGCAACATTATTGATATTTTAATATAAAAGCAAATATTGAGCCGTTTTCTATAAAAATATTTTTTATTATGTACTTGGGTGTGAAATAGCATGTTTTTTAAAATTTTTAAGTGATTAAATCCGGCAAAAATCTTACAAATGATTTTATCAAGATAAAAAATGGCCACTATGGTTTTTTTATACGATTTTTTATTAAAAATTTTTATTATTAATCGAAGTATTGATTTTTATGGAAAAAGTGACTCATTATTTATATATATATTAAACGAAAGAAGATACCGAAAAGCATTGAACAGTGCACACATCTCATAAGGAAAAGTGAATTATTACGAAATACTAATACAGTGGCAGCACTATAGCTGTTTTGGAATCTCGCGTTTCAGCTGGCAAAGATTGTCAACTTCTTTTTAATAACAAAATAATCTATCTTAGGTTGATAAAACTATGTGTTTCTTTAATAAATAAGTTAAATTATATATTTTAATAGTGTTTAAAAAGTGAAAACAGGTGATTTAGTGAATCTTTGTCGGTGTAATTGCCCATAGAAAACAACGAAATTTAAAAGTTTTTTCTTCATAACTTTTAAACGGTTAATAATATTATCTCCCCCCTCCGGATTGTTATTAGGAGGGCCGAAACGCGTCGTTTGGTACCCCTCCCGACTTTTCCGCACCTTTTTTAGGGGCTGTTACCCCACCCTAGAGAATTACCATCAAAAGTGCTGGAATGAGAGTTAAAATCCTGGCATAAGCAACGGAGTGGGTCGTGCAATTCAAAATTAGTTTTACAAGCTTTCAGAAATAGGGGACAAAAGTGTCTTGATACCCGGGAGGGAACATTAAGGCTAACTTCGTCCAGAAGAAGCGGACTTGAAATTGAGCCTGTTAGTAATTTAACTATACAAATTGTACCAAGCATTTTCCTGCGGCTGGAAAGTGTAGGAAGATTAATCAGCCCTATTCTGCATTTCGATTAC